AAACAAGAAGTCTGGAAACAAAGGAACATGCATAAAGACTCCGCTATATAGTTGCAGATGATGTGTAAACCACTACTCATGTGGAATAATGAGAATCGTCCTTGCCCTGACCTGATGTATCTTTCTCACTACTTTTTGGAATAAGTAGAAAGGGGGCAAACCTTTTCCCCAGTGCAGCAGGAAAGTACCTTCAAGAAGAATAGTTTCCTGTGAGAAATTCATGAAGAGGGAAGTGCAATAGAATTGAAGGACAACAATTTTTTTCCATAGAGGTCCCAGAATCCATGACTTCAGCCCCTGGCTACTGTGGGTGGTATGGGGATTCCACATCTGAGCTCCCCATTTTGTCAGGGATATTTTAAGTAAAAGTGAACCAAGGATATTACCAGACCGATATGATCCAGAGATCAACAACTGATCTGAAGGAGTGGAGAATGTGGAATCTCTTGTTACCACAAATGTATCTCCTACCCTACTGAAGCCAGGGATGGAACAGGTCTTTGCTTCAGCACTGCAGCAGTATTGTCAGAATGAGACAAATCCAAAAACTCTGAGGTATGGGAACAGGCACTGCTAACGGCAGCCCTTTTGTCCCTATGCTTCTTGGTCTTCAACCCTGGGGCAGATGGAACCAAAGGTGCTAATGGCCCCAGTCAGCTGTCTGGAAGTGGAAGTCTGAACCAATCCTGGTCCTGCAGCCTCAGGAATTCCATCAGGGTTAAGTATCTGCAGGGTATAAAGTACAGCACTGGTGAGAGTGGCTAAAAGATCTCTCAGCCTCTGTCCTGGAACTGAGGCAGTCAGATGCAACAACATGGCCCTCAGTTCAGACAGGCATTGCCTTGTGAGCATGACTGAGGAAGGTGCAGGAATCAGATCCAGCACTGACGGGGTTTGCAGCTTCTTGACACCAGTAAAAGCCCCAGGAAATAGGATGACCTCTTAGACCATGAAGCTGAGGACTGATCAGATCCAGAGGGTCTAGGTTCCCTAGGAAGGAAGAGCTGCAAATCAGTCTCCTTGTCCTTCTGGGCTCTGGAAGTGATGGTCCAACAACAAACTGAACATCCAGAAGGTGAGTGTCTTTCTTCCAGGTACTTGAGGCACTGCATGTGGTCATCCAATTCTAGGAAGACAGCCTGGCAGGAAGCATACCTTTTGAATCCCAGCTTCTTCAATTCTCTCATAACCTGGAAGTGGGAAAAAACACTGACTGTACTAACAAAACTAACACACCGACTATATAAAAAGAGATAGGCACTGGGTTCACATCTGTCCAGGCACACAATTGGGAGGGATTCTACCCCCGTACAGCCTCGACCTCAGAAAACTGATGATGCTGAGGGCAGGAGTGGGGGGCAGAAGATGCCTCTAGATAACACAGCTAGAAAAAAGTTCTACCACAAGACAATGCAGTACAAGTAAGTTGGGGATATGCAGAGCCACTTAAAGATCTGTGATCTTATTCATGATGTATTAGTTACAGTTGAATAAAATAAAATAAAATTGGGGTAAATTTACAAAGTAAATGTAACACTGAGCCCAATTCTGTAAGGTGCTAAGCACCAAGGGTTCAATGAGATCTGAGGATACTCAGCAGTTTACAGGGTCAGGTCTTCAAAGTATATAAATGTGCTGTATAACTGACAGTTATCCATTCTGTATACTTAAGAGCAATGTACTTAAATTAAAATTTCTCCAGAGCAATTAGTGCAGTTTTATGTTTTCCTTAGGCAAATGCTTTGCTATGTCAAATTGCTCTCTTCTTCTCTCAGTTTAGTCTATATTGATCTTACCCTTTCAGTATAAACTCCTATTATTATTTATAAACTGTAATGACAGTGCAACTTCCCTGTCTTATTAAGAAAGTTATAATCTATCAAAAAAGAAAATCCAGTCAAATTTATAACACTGTTTTAAGAAGAATGAAGTAGATAGAAAAATACCAAAGATAGAGTGCTGCCAGAAAATTACCAATTCTGTTTTGTTCTTCAACATCAATAGTAGGCTGGTTTAGGACAGAGACAGTATCAACTACTCTAAGATAATGAAGTACATTAGGCATCATTAGTCATACATGAACCCTCCTCCCCCCCAAAAAAAAAGACCCGATAAGCAACTCTAGAAACTCTACACAGCACCCTAAACTTGAAATAAGATATGCAATTTGAGCTACACAAACTGCATATTCTATTTTGAAATTTGGTATGTCTACACAGCGCCAAATTTAGAAATATCACGCTATTTCGAGCCATCCCTTAACCCTCATGCAATAAGGCTTACCGGGATGGCAAAATAGCGCACCCATTATTTTGAAAAATATTTCAAAATAATAGGTGCCTTGCTTAGACTTTGGGATACTTCCGGTATCCCAAAATAGCTGTGCAGTGTAGATGTACTATTCGTGAATTCAACACAGGAGTCCTCCAGAGGCCTACAGTCTGTTAAAGCTATTTTCCTTCTATGCACAAAAGCAGAAAACATTAACAGCTGTATTTTCAGACAAATTTATAGTTATATGAAATCCTGGTGAACTCATTTTGCTAGACTTAAGCACAGCTTTGTGTTCCTGACTGATGTATTTCATGGATTATATTGTACACATTTATCATGTTAAAGATTTTGATGGTTTTTTAAAGTGCAGATTAATTTTTTAGAAATAGGTTTTAAGCAGTATAGGAATGACCAGCATATTAGGCTGCTGATGGATTGGCTTTCATTTAGTAATTAAATCTCTTTAAATTAAAGCCGAGTTTTTGTACTTCTAACAAACAAATCCAAGTTTTCAACAGCAATTAAATATGATCTTACTGAAAGGTCAAGGACACTGTCTAGGCCTTATATTGTTAGTCTTTTCTGAATGCCCAACATCCAGACCAACTTTTCCTTCTCTCAGTTTGCCTTCAAACATTCATCTCAGTAGGGCTAACGCACGCAGCTACTCAATGGACATTTGGAAAATATATTTTTCCACAGGATCTGTTGCAGGGATTTAGGGCTGTCCATACTCCTTGTCATTTGCTCCTTCCCTTCTCCTTTTCCCCACCTTCCCAGCTTTTTCCTCTCTCCAGATCCAAGAAAAACAGATAAGTGCTTGTAATCTAGACCAGTGGTGCACAACCTGTGGGTCGTAACCCCCAAGTGGTTCGTGGAAGTCTTCCTTGGGGACCACTGTGCCGGGCCCCATCCCCAGTCACCCAGATCTAAGCACCGCGCTGCGTGACCGCCAACAGCCAGGCCCAGCCACGGGGGTTGCAGTTGAAAAAAAGATTGTACACCACTGATCTAGAATATATTTTTTTCTTCCAATGCTGAAATTAAAAAAATCTCTTAAAATTAAATATTGGAGCTTTGCACTTTAAATTTCAAAAGCAGAACTTTTTATACAACTATCAGCAAGGGGATAATGTTCTAAAAGAGATTGCTTTGAATGCACAGCATATTGCATCAAAGTTACATTCTTACAATTCTGGTATTCAGCTAGAATTACTAAGTAACAGATTGAGAGAGTGTTGCAGAAAATTAACAAATTAGCCAAATCAAAGAGAAAAAAATTAAAACAGTCATAAGTTAATAGTTATTACACCATTCCTGCATCTGGAACTTCTTCTCTGTCCCATTGTTTGGTGTCCACCTCCTCTGACGACAAGGAGCAATCATCAGGTGAATGCTCGCAGTTTTCCACACACACGGAGCGGGGGAGGTGGGCACAGAAGGGATAGGGTGCGATTGTCACTTGGCCTTCTCGGCCTGCACATCGTGCTGCAGTTGGTGCACATGGAAGCGCATGCAGCACCAGTCTGTGCCACCTGGCCTCAGGAGGCAGCCCCTGAGCATCCCCAGGATCCTGCTCACAGGCTCAGAGGAGGCCCCACACATATGTCTGGCCCTGTGCGGGGGAGGGGATCACTACCAGCCATGGCTGGAAACAGGCTGGGCACAAGGGTGCAGGCACGACTCCATACATACCGAGAAGTGCCACAGACAGCACACAGGCATGCCTGCCCACGCGAGGCACCCCCTGCTTCCGCAGACAGCGCTACTAGGCGCAGGTGTGTGTGCGGGCCCCATGGACTGCCAGGCTGCTACAGGCTACATTCAATACCCTTGTAAAAAAAATCACTTTTTCTATAAAGCCATAAATATTTGCCCATCTCAGAAAAATTCTGCCAACACCCCTTAAAGAAAATATTTTAAATTACTAGCACCATCTGTTTGATCTAGTGTTTTGGGGTCTTATCAGCATCCGATGTAGGACCTGATCCTGGATACATTTCTGGCTATAAAACTTTGACTTCAAAAATTCTACTCACATAAGTCTTATGCCGAGAAGTCATTGTTTACAGGGCAAGGCTCAGAGACTAAATTCCTTGGGAAGGAACTCTCTCTTTTGAAGCACAGTGTCAGCATAAAACAATCACCATCAAGTCAGAAAATCTTTCCAAGGTGATTTTTCTTATTCTGTATATTTTGCCAAATTAGGAAGCATTACAGAAATATCTAATTTAATTAGACAGCTATCATCAAGTTACAGGGCGTCCCCGCTGTAAGTCGCCCCTGTATACATCCGTTCCTCACTAAAAGTCATTGATGCTTGTAGGAACTGATGATTATAAGTCCTCCCATTCCTCACTCTTAAGTTATGCAACAACAAAAAAAAAACCAATTTGCACAAATAGAAGTCAGCTGCAGGAAAAAAATTTCCTGCTTTAAGTTGTTTCTCTGTAAGTCCAAGGTTTTTAGAACATATCTTGGACTTATAGCAAGGACGGCCTGTATTCCTATCAGACAAAACATCGCACAGGGCTACATTGCTAATTTTTCATTTTGCCATAATGGATGGGGGGCGGGGAATGATTTCACCCAGACTGTTCTTGAGCTGCCTAAGGAACAGCTTAGGAAGGGGACAGTGAAACTTGGAGCTACAATCTCCTCCCCAGGTTCCCTGATGCTCCCAGCATTGGTGCCAGTGGGCAGGTACACTCCAGTTCTCTGTACCAATATAAGGTGCCCTTTACTTTGTTTTGAGGGGGGAGGGAGGGATTGGGCAGATTTAACAAGTGTACTAGAAAGACTCCTTGCTGCTGACCAATTCCAGCCCCTTCACCGCCTTCTGCATTTCTGAGTACAGGGCTGGCAGCATGGCTGGGAGTGCTAGGCCGCCAGAGGAACTGCCAGCATTCTGCTCCTTTCCCCACTGTCTCTCCCATCCAAGAAAGGAGCAGACGGGCCAGCCTTGCACCCCCCAGCTCTTTACACAGACACAGCAGCTCTGTGGAGGGGCAGGGCTGGAAGTTCTGCTCCATTCCCTGTTGGGAGGTCAGCAGGGAAAAAAGCAGAACTGCCAGCAGCTCTCTGGCTGTCATACAGCTGATAATGTCAGATGGGGAGGGGAAGAGAGGAGAAGAGTCGAGCTTCCTCAGGTTGGAGGGAGAGCAGAGTCATGTGGGGGTGGGGAGATCATGTGAAGAGGTCACATGCCCCCATCTTACCTGGTGTGCCCTCCCCCTCCTCTACTGGTAAGAACTTTTGTTTACCTATACCACTGGCTCCCGTGAAGGAGTAAACAGTGGCCCATGGCAGCATAAGTTCCCCAATATACTGGTTCAACTATGCCTCATTAAGGGGGGCAGAACCAAGGCTCTGTCCAGTCCCCACCTACCCCCAGAAACAAAGTAAAGGGCACCTTATTCCGCCCCCTCCTCCCCCCTCCACACTCCATTTGCACTGGCATGCAAGTCAAGTCACAGTTACAGCCCAGGGATCAGATTAATTAAAAAATACGTAGTAGTCTGCTGGCCCTTTAGTTGTTGCTCTGCAACTTCCTCTCGACTTGCACCTGAAAGGCTAGCCCTCAACAATGGTCTCAAACAAAGGTGGTAATGAGCAAAAACATGAGATTCTTAAATTTCAGGCAAAGGCATGAGAGGATGAAGCTTCAGGTTTACCAGACATGTGGAAGACCTAGCCCTCATTACAAGAAAAAAAATTAAAATTTCAACAATGTTTTCATACTCAAAAATTACAACCAGTTCCTATATAATTGTCCTTTTCTATAGCAATGAAATTAAAATGTACACAAAAAAATTATTAAACTAATAAACTCCAACGAAATGTTCTCATGTTCTTGCCTTTATTTTCCTAACCAACAATAACCAGCCTCTCCTGATCTACTTCAGCAAGAGATTGA